GGGGCTCTGGTAGCTGGTCCTAAAGGTGAAGTGGTAGCAGCCGGCTGTTTCTGCTTCTGATATTACTGAGCGGAGAACCTCTCACACCGGCGGTGTTCTGTTGCTAGATATGCAAGTGTGTAATGAGTGGAGGACCCACGGAAGCGCGGCGGTTTGGTGAGACCGGCAACCGGATGGTCCAATAGTTGCTTACAGACTGAATCGTGTTATTGGCTAAGGTTTTTTATCAATTTTTTCATTGTTTTGTTTTTTAACACCACAATATATTTATGGCTATACGATGTTAGAACTTTACAAGAGGCATGAAAAATGTTTTAAGCTTATTTGTTTCCCAAAAAAAGCTTTTTATTTATTTATTTAACTTTCATTTGACCAGGTGAGTCAGCTGATAATAACCTGAGGCAGTTGCAGAAGGAGATTGTACAAACACAATCATAGAACATGAAAACACACGAGACAAAGAATTAAAGAAAACTAAACAGCAGGAAGTCAGTCAGCATCACATTTAAAAGAATCCAAACAACCATCAGAGACTGAGGAAATGAAGGTGGATGATACGATGTGGGTTTCCCACTCATGTCTGTTTTTAGGAGCAGCAATGCAGAGTAAAGAACGGCTACAGGAGCTAAAGATGTTGAGAGTGACCATGGTGGTGGTTGTTGAGCAGTGAGATGTGGAGAAGTGCTGATGAGTAAGTGACCTGGCTCCAGTTAGTCTAACGGTATCTGAAATCATATAATCAAGATTCTAGAATGGGAAGAACGATGATTCCGTTGTTGTGGATGAAAGTCATGACTGTGGAGCTGCTGGTGAAGGCAGCATTCCAGGTTGGACTGGAGAGGAAAATAATGGAGTCATCAGCGTATTGACGGATGTGAAACCTACTCACAGTCTGAATGACGTTATAGATGCTAAAACGGGTTGGGCTGAGGTTCCTCTGAAGCTTGTTTGGTTTATATAGACCGAGGTAAGCATTCAGATAAAAGCAAAGGAAGGAATAACTTAGAAAAAGCATGGACTCATTAGAATTAATAAGCACTGTAATATTTATTTAATAATCCCAGAGGGAGATTACGTTCTGTTGTAACTCTTCTTCAAAGCAGTGATGAAAACAGTAAAATGGCAGTAACAATAATGACCTCAGCTGTGGGCAGGAAGGGTCTTGTGGTTGGGATTACAGCCGACCTGAAGAAGCCTCCAACTAAAGATGCTCTGCTGTTGCATGGCAGTGTCCCAACGCGAATGCTGGGGTTCTCCCATCATTTCTGATTTGATGAAGAATTGTTCTTTGCACCTTCATCTCCAGTGGTTCCACAGTAGTCCCCAGAACAGAACCAAGCAGACACCACAGTATTATGTTCTTTGACCACCTCCACATCATCTCCTATGATAGTAACAGAGCTTAAGAAATCTACAGCCATCTCCTTTGTTTTGTTGACATTCAAGATGAGGGGATTGTTCTCTCGCCATGCCACAAAGCTCTCCACCGATGACCACAGAGTTGTCTGAATATTTCTGCATGTACTGGAAAGAAACGGTGAGAGTACCATGCCCTGTGGTACTCCAGTGGTGCTCCAGTGTTGCTGAACACCTGATCAGACACACAGCCCTTCAGTCTCACCAACTGGGGACTGTTTGTCGGGAAATCATTACTGAATATTCAGAATGTCCAGAGCCAACTCTGAATGCTAACCGATGCTAACGGACAACACGATAAACCGAATCAGTTAAAACTCCATCGTTTCTCATTAAAAAGGTCTGAGTTTAGCCACTTCGATGGAGGCCGATGGATGAAAGCATCCATTCAAGGACTGGTAAGACATTAAAATGTTAGCCACCTGTGCTTTGTTAGCTGAACAGACAGCGATGTATTAATGAAACCTTTGTCCAGGTTAAGCAATGTTTGTATCATCTTCAACCCACCAGACCTTCAGAAAACTTCTGGATCTCTGATTTTTTTCTCATCAAATCAAAAGCATAACTCGTGCATGAGAACGCTCGCGCTCTTTGAGAATGTTTTCCTGCCTCTTCTGCTTCATTCGTTTCAAACGCACCTCCAGTTACTCGGTAAACAGACCGAGTTTCCGCGCCGCTTTACTTTTTCGCTCCGAGCCAAACGAGATGTTTCTGCCTCTGTTTTTTTCCCTGAAGACTTCGACCGACCCACTTTCACTCATCCCGCTCACCTTCAGGGCAAAGAAGGGAATGCAGAATATTTCCTGTGGAGTGTTTCAAATCAATGTGATATGATTAAGTAACGGCGGTAAAAGAACGAGGGTGATTTTAAACAGCCGCAGTGCTGCGGTTTGTACAGAACAAAGCTCATTATGGCTTTGTGCTGAAGTGTGTTGAGCCTAATTGTTACGAGTGTACATCTCAGCTGAGCAGTAACACCTCGTCTGACACGAACCTGCCTCAACAAGATGAAAAGCTCCACAATCACCTCCATAAAACCACATTAATTAGTTCACTGTTGGAGTGCAAAGGGCCTTTCAGATGGTAAAGTGAGCTCGTGGAACTTCCTCAGAGACCTGATTTAGGCTGAAAACTTCAACCTTCACATGAAACATCAGTGAAGATAATGAAATGGACATCCAGGCATAAAGACACACTCTGAACATGTCATTTCAGCTGGAAACACATCTTTCTTTCATTTGACTGCAAAATTTAATCAGCAGAGAAGAATTAGGCCCACCAGGGAAAACAGAAGAGGGAGAAGGAATCTCGGTTTTTTCCACGATTCAGTGTCAAAGGTCAATTTGGGAAAACTCGTCTTATTACTTTCAGAGTGAAGACACTAAAACTAACCTCAATCTGGAGTGGAGAACAACATTTAAATGAAACTATAATCTTGATGATAATAATCGTCATAACCTATAGAAGTTTTCTCAGAATGGTGAAGCAGAAGTTAAAGACTTTTATTGTGAAGGATTGAAGGAAGTTCTGAGGGTTTAACTGTGTGTGCTGTTGGGCTGAACACCTCACCTGTGTGTAACATTAATAATAATAACATTAATAATAATAATAACATTAATAATAATGACAGAACAGAGAAAAGGACGTTGGTGGAATCCACTATTTAGACGCAAGTGTCCCTAAATCTCATCTTATAAATCAGACTCTGCTTCACAATAAAATAAGTCATACGGTGGGTTTTCAATGATAAACATTTAAAGTCTGCCTGTGAAATATTTGGATAGTTAAATAAAAATTGGCCCTGAATAAGTAAAAATAGCAGTTAGTTTCACCTGACTGAGTGTCCGGGTCAGAATTAGAAAAGAAAGATGATTATGGACTATTTATGGTCACTTTTATTGGATCTGCCGACTGGATGTTCCTGCACCATCGGGTGCAGTGCACCAGCCTGTCAGAAGGCTGAACTTTGACCTTTACGCCCCCTTTTAAAAACATTCACATGTTGCACGGGCAGCAGAAAAGAGAATCCCTGCTGCTCACGTTGTGTTGCAGACTGATCTGAAACAGATAAATGTGTTTTTGCATCTTGAATATTTCAGCTGTAAATAGTTCTGTCTCACTCCAGACTTGTACCATCTCAGAGGAAACCAAACAAACCGTTTCAAACTGTTGTCATTATAAATGAAGCTGTGAACATGCAGGGGTTTTAGTCAGATATTAGACGAATATTTAAATCTATTCTTAAATGTTGAAGTCTTAATAAATCTTCCGTCTCTTTAGGAGACAGCAGACACGTCAGGCATCATGAATGCAACCGAGGCTCCAAGCAGGGAGGGTGTGTCAGATTATGCTAGCCTAGTGAACTAGACCAAATTCTTGCTTTACAAAGTTTGGTCTAGGCATGCTCCATTGGAACCTCAGCAGCTCCTACCAGGACTTTGGCTAGCCAATCACAGCTCTCTAGAGGGGTTTCAAACATATAAAGAGCTGTGATTGGTCCATAATGGTGGGCCAATCATAGTGCTCTATCTGCTTAGTGAACAAATCACAGAGCTTTATCCGCTTTGTGGGCCAATCAGGGCACTCTATATGCCTGGTGGGTGGGATGATGCAACAGAGTGAAACAAGAGGATGTCACATTCATTGTCCAGTGGAATGCGGAGATCATTTGAAAGACAACGGTAGAACCCGCCCCACAACCGAGAGCCGTCAGTGGAGCGTGGCCAGACTAATAATACATTTATTTAGTCTGGCTTGCCAGGCTAAGATTATGCTGCAATTGAAGGCTTTTCTTTTTATTCTGAGTGGTCACATGACCAAAGACTAATCAAGCACTGTCTCTAGGACCCCCCCCCCCCCACACACACACACACACACACACACTGGTTTTCCTGGAGGGCTTATGCACCAAAGAGTCCTACCCATGCTTTCTTTGTTGAAAGAAAATAAATTAATAAACTATCTTTTCCCTCAAATGTAGGTTTGGATCGTCGTGTGACGGGATGCTTGGCTAGTGTGACATCATGGATGCTTGGCTAGTGTGACATCATGGATGCTTAGCTAGTGTGACATCATGGATGCTTAGCTAGTGTGACGTCATGGATGCTTGGCTAGTGTGACGTCATGGATGCTTGGCTAGTGTGACACCATGGATGCTTGGCTAGTGTGACATCATGGATGCTTAGCTAGTGTGACATCATGGATGCTTGGCTAGTGTGACGTCATTTTATCTCATTTATCTCTTTAAGAACCATTTTGTTTACATAACCCACCTTCATAGTGGGAAACCTAGATGTTTAAAATCAACCAACACTGAGACACGTGTAATGCGTTTCTGTGTGAATCAGCAGGATCTGAGGGATAAATAAATAAATAAAAACTAAACAAGGAGTAGATAAACAGGGAGGGCTGGTTAGAAACAGGAGACGAGAGCTGGAACAGGGACGACTGAGGACATCTACTGGTGAAACCAAGACATAACGCAGCTTTAAAGCCTAACTCACTAAAACCAATCCAACCCAGAGGGACGCCTCCTCACTAAACCAGAGCAGGTTTAATGACCAGATCCTTTTCTTGTGTTGCAGGTCATCCTGATGCTGACCAAACTCTTTGACTTCAATCTGAACAGTGTGACTGAGAGTTCATTATGGAGGTAAGCTTCGGCTCTCTCGCCTGGAGCACCTGTGAGTCTGACACCATAAATTGGTCTGAGGAGACCGCTGTTGGTGGCTCTGCGTCTTTCTGATGTCTGTAATTTTGGGATTTGAGAGTCTCAGAGCTGTGCTCGTAGGAACACAGATTCTGATTCGGTCATAATGAGAATTAATGAAACACTCAGGGAGATGAGAGCATCCGGATCGCCCAAAGACGAGCTGGACTGCCTCTGTGCTGGATTTGTTCAAATGTCTGAAAGCACCTGAAGTCCCTCTCATGGATTACTATAAGTTACTGGAGCTGGAGGCATCACCCAGTGAATTACCTTGACCAGGTAGCTGTTTGTGGCAGCACTTTCCTTTAAGCTTCAGTCCTCTGGATTCTGATCCTGCTTTGGTCATTTGCAACACAAAGCATATTTTTATTGATTGTAAAATCTAACCCTGCAGACACCATCAGGAAGGTGGAGCAAAAACTGCACAAAACATTAAAGTTGATGAACTATTGTAGCTGGAAGGGGCAACAGCTGCTGAAAGTGTGTGTAATACCTGACCTCGCGTCTACAGAGGAGACTCATGTGGGCAGAAGTAGCTTCCTGCTCTGTAGAAATGCCGGCGCAAGTTCTGTTGATGTATTTTTATCTGCACTGAAATAATAATTATCTTTAAAACAAATGAAGCAAATTTTAAAATTAAATAATCCAAATAAAACAAATCCAGCTCTTTTTGGAGCATCTTTTGCCATATTGCTAAAATGCTCTCCACATACTGACAGAAACTAAATGAGTGAAATGTTTAATTTTAACCTCCTTTTGAATTTTACAATCCAAGATACATAATCATTGTGAAAGTTTGAATGATTGGATCCTGATCCATTCATCAAACTGCCCTCTGAATGCCCCGCCCCTTTTTGTGCTCGAGTCACACGTTCTCAGCTCAGAGCAGCAGAACAGGAAGTGAAGCCAGGTGGGTACTGGCCATGGTCCTGAACCCCCCGAGCAGAGAGGCATCAGCCGTAACAACAACATGTTTTATAGTTGTTTGACAGTATCTGTTCTTTCTGTTTATCTCCTGTACTCTGTGGGCGTGTCATATGGGCGGAGCCTAGGGAAAGTGCAGCTTATATTTTCCAGGAACACCTGCCCTACCTTTGAACTCTGACACTGAAACAAAATCTTTCAAAATTTCTAAAAATAATATACGTTCCTTAATTATTTAACATAAATGTGAACATGAGATGAGATTTCCAGCTGTCCATCCATCTGTCACTACATGGTGAGAAGCTTGAGGACTTCCTGACAGTAACGTTGGACAGATTAACCTGCTGAGGTGCAGAAATGACTTAAGGAAATTATTTTTGGGGATTCTTTTTTGTCCTCTCCCTTTGAGGCTACCCGAGGCGCGCTGTGGATGAACCGTCATAAAGGGCGCTGACCTGTTAGCAGATACAATGAGGCTGTTTCTCCCAGTCTCACGTGATGCTCCAACATCACCATTTTAATGGAGCTTCCTTCACCAACTGGTTCATAAATCTAAAGTGTTGAGAAAACAGAGCCTCTCGTAGAGGACGGGTGATGACAGGTGTGTGAGAAGAGGTCTGACAGAAAGACAGACAAGTAAACAGATGAATCACTATCCGAGTGAGAGAAGACAGATCGGGACATTAGTGGACAATGTACAGGCGTGACGATGGGAGGAGTTCGGTGAGACCATAGAGCAAGACTTCTGTACGGCTTCGTGGAGATTCTGGTCCACCATCCGGCGCCTGGGGGGGGGGGGGGGGGGGGGGAAGCAGTACACTACCAACACTATCTATAGTGGGGATGGTGTGCTGCTGACCTCTACTCAGGACGTTGTGGATCGGTGGGCAGAATACTTCGAAGACCTCCTCAATCCCACCGACACGTCTTCCAGTGAGGAAGCAGAGTCTGGGGACTTTGGGTCAAATCTCTGGTTCTGAGGCCACTGAGGGGGTTAAAAAGCTCCTCTGTGGCAAGGCTCCAGGGGTGGATGAGTTCCGCCCGGAGTTCCTTAAGGCTCTGGATGTTGTGGGGCGGTGTTGGCTGATACGGCTCTCCAATATCGCGTGGACATCAGGGGCAGTCCCACTGGACTTTCAGATGGGGGTGGTGGTCCCCTTATTTAAAAAAGGGGGACCGCAGGGTGTGTTCCAACTACAGGGGGTCACACTCCTGAGCCTTCCTGGTAAGGTCTATTCAGGGTTCTGGAGAGGAGGGTCCGTCGGATTGTTGAACCTCAGATTCAGGAGGAGCAATGTGGTTTTGGTCCTGGCCGTGGAACACTGGACCAGCTCTATACCCTTAGGGGGATCCTGGAGGGTGCGTGGGAATTTGCCCAACCAGTCTACATGTGCTTTGTGGATTTGGAGAAGGCGTTTGACCGCGTCCCTCGGGGGGCCCTGTGGGGGGTACTCCGGGAGTATGGGGTATCAGGCCCTCTGATACGGGCTGTTAGGTCCCTGTATGACCGGTGTCAGAGCTTGGTCTGCATTGCCGGCAGTAAGTCGGGCTCGTTCCCAGTGAGAGTTGGACTCCGCCAAGGCTGCCCTTTGTCACCGATTCTGTTCATAACCTTTATGGACAGGATTTCTAGGTGCAGCCAAGGTGTGGAGGGCATCCATTTTGGTGGCCTGAGGATCAGGTCTCTGCTTTTTGCAGATGATGTGGTCCTGTTGGCTTCATCAGAACGTGATCTTCAGCTTTCACTGGAGCGGTTCACAGCCGAGTGTGAAGCAGCTGGGATGAGAATCAGCTCCTCTAAATCTGAGACCATGGTCTTGATTCGGAAAAGGGTCGAATGCCTTCTCCGGGTCAGGGATGAGGTCCTGCCCCAAGTGGAGGAGTTTAAGTATCTCGGGGTCTTGTTCACGAGTGAGGGAAAACTGGAGCGTGAGATCGATAGGTGGATTGGTGCTGCGTCTGCAGTGATGCGGGCGTTGTACTGGTCTGTCGTGGTGAAGAGAGAGCTGAGTCAGAAGGCGAAGCTCTCGATTTACCGGTGGATCTTCGTTCCTACCCTCACCTATGGTCATGAGCTTTGGGTAGTGACCGAAAGAACGAGATCATGGATACAAGCGGCCAAAATGAGTTTTCTCTGAAGAGTGGCTGAGCTCTCCCTTAGAGATAGGGGGAGGAGCTCGGAGTAGATCTGCTGCTCCTCCACATCGAGAGGAGCCAATTGAGGTGGCTCGGGCATCTGGTCAGGATTAGAGCTGAGGAAAATAATCAAATAATCGATGCATCGGGATGCGGACATAAACGATTCTGCATCGTAGAAGAGTACGCCATAATCGATTATAGTGGAATGTAGTTTTGTTTTTTTAACGCGGCACCAGCGCAGCAACCAAATCTGTCAGAGTGAGCGTCCTCCACATTTACCTCCGCCTTAATGTGGTATTGCAGGGCTGAGCGCTAGAGTTGTCACCCAAGACCAAACCGGAACCGAATCAGCCCGACCGGTTCTGTTGGATTTGGGCCGTGAATTATGTTAATTGAGCGGGTTGTCGTGCTGCGCGCTCTGCTCGCTCGATCAGCGACAGAGAGAGAGAGAGAGAGAGAGAGAGAGAGAGAGAGAGAGAGAGAGAGAGAGAGAGAGAGAGAGAGAGAGAGAGAGAGAGAGAGAGAGAGAGAGAGAGAGAGAGAGAGAGAGAGAGAGAGAGAGAGAGAGAGAGAGAGAGAGAGAGAGAGAGAGAGAGAGAGAGAGAGAGAGGAGAGAGAGAGAGAGAGAGAGAGAGAGAGAGAGAGAGAGACGATCGGAGGACGCTCCTCCAAACCGATGCTCCAAACACGCGTTATTATTTTCATAATTTCATTATTATTTCTCCTGGAAGCGCTCAGTCAGACTGCTTGTTGTAATCCGGTCTTGGGTGAGGGGGCGGGGTCAGTGACCGCGGCTGCAGCATGATCGTCTGTCTCTTTTATTTACAGACACGGAGAAGTTAAAAGAAGAGAGAAATAGAAGATAGAAGTTCTTGTTCCACTTTATTCTTTTGTTTCATGATGATAAACTGATGTTAAATTCAGCTTAAAGAGAAACTGGGAGGAAGCTTTGGTTCATCTTAAGTTACAGGAGGTCTTGTCTCCTATCTGCTCCTCCAGAGACAGCATGGACATGAGGGTCCCATGGTGAGGGTCCCACAGGACAGGTTAGTGGAAAGGTTAGTAGTTAGCTGGTTAGTGAAGGAGATCCATCAGCTGGGTAATTTAATCCTAATCCAGCCCACAGCCTTCTGCTGGTGTTATTATCAGGAAGAATAAAACACACATCTTAAATATTATTGGAAGTGTAGAATTTTTTTTTGTGTTTTATTTTCTGCATCAAACAGAACTTGATTCATTCTCCAACATTTCAGAAATGAACCACTGGGTTCAAATGAAATTAAGTCAAACATTTCATTTGGTGTTATTTCTGACACCCTTCAACTGTGGCATAAATATTTGACTCTAGAGCTGCTCAGAGACATTAAATACTCATATATGAACCCAATTATGTATTTTATTATTACATTATGTGTCCTGTAGGTTTTCAGTACTTTTTTAGATTTTGTGAGTTTTTACAAAGCGTGTTTTTCTCAGCCTGAGGCGTGGTGCTGAACCAGGAAACAGATGTTTTATTTTGTTAAATCTTCTTAAATGTTTAAATGTTTTGTCCTAACCTGTTGTGAATGGAGAGCTTTTGAGGGATGGCAGGTTGTGTCAATTACGTTTTAGATTAAAAAAAAAGCAATTATCTGACATCTTCTATTTATCGATGAAAACAAATCAATATGAAATAATCGTGATGCATCGTGATGCATCGGGATATCGAATCGAATTGAATCGATGACCCCATAATCGTAATCGAATCGAATCGGGAGACAAGTGAAGATTCACACCTCTAGTCAGGATGCCTCCTGGACGCCTCCCTGGTGAGGTTTTCCAGGCACGTCCAACCAGGAGGAGACCTAAAGGTAGACCCAGGACACGGTGGAGGGACTATG